AGGGAGGTTTTCTGTCATTATTTCTTCAAATAGGCTTTCAGTTCCTTGCTCTCTCTCTCTCCTCTTTCTGGTACTCCTATGATGTGAATGTTGTTACATTTGATGTTTTCCCAGAGGTTCCTTAAACTATTTTCATTTTTTGGGATTCTTTTTCTTGTTGCTCTTCTGATTGGGTGTCCTCTGCTACCCCGTTCTCTATGTCGCTGATTCGATCCTCCATTTCATCCACTCTGTTGATTCCCTCTAATGTACTCTTCGTCTCACATGTCATATTCTTCATTTTTCACTGGCTCCCTTTTAAGTTTTCCATCTCCATTTTTACATTTTCTATAGCTTTGTTAAAATCTCACTGAGTTTACCTACTCTTCCCAAGTTTCTTGAGTATCCTTATAACTAGTGTTTTGAACTCTGCATCTGGTACATTACATGTCTCCTTTTTGTGAATTCTTTTTTCTGGAGCTTTATTCTGTTCTTTCATGTGAAGATGATTCTTTCTCTCACCATTTTGGCTGCCTCCCTGTGTGTTTCTATGTATTATGTAGGGCTCCTAAGTCTCTACTGGTTTAGTAGAATGGTTTTATGTAATAGGTGTGCTATGGGGCCCAGTGGCACAGTCCTGGGAGGAGTCCAGTTGCAGGCCAGGTTCACCTACAGCCTATATACCTCCGGGGCCACCTGGTAAGTCATCAAGCAATCCACATATGGCTTTCACCCGTATTGGACTTACAGGTGCCTCGAGGTGCTAAGTCAGGAACCAAGGCTGGTTGCTACTAGTGCAGGGCCTTGGGGCTGCTTCTCAAGTGGTACAGGGCACACCAAGGCTAGATAATGCTTCTTTGAGTTTTCTGAGGCTTTGAGAGATTTTATGAAAGTATGCAGCAGGAGCCAAGGTAGCCCCCCTGATTCTTGATAGCCACACGCAGTTGTGAGACCTAGCTGTTTTGTCTCCGCCCCTCCTACTGTTTTGAGTGACCTTTTACTTTTGTCCCTAGTTGTAGGGCTTCTGTTCAGCCATACTTCAGGCAACTCCACGTGCTGGTTGTTCTGTAGTTTTGTTATAATTTTGGTGTGGTCACTAGAGGACGCATGCACAGCCTCTACCTTCTATGCCATCTTGCAAGAAGCTGATTCTACAGTCAATTGATTTTTGACAAAGATGCTGAGTCCATTCAATGGGAAAGAATAGACTTTTCAACAAATTGTTCTAAGACAACTGGATATCCACATGCAAAAGACTGATCTGGACTTTTAACTCATACCATATACAAATATTAGTTAACTTAAAATGGATCAGTGACCATAATGTAAAGCAAAACCATAAAACTCTAAGAAGAAAACATAGGAGTAAATTGTTATGACCTTGGGTTTGGCAGCAGATTCTTAGATATGACACCAAAAGCAAGAAAAACAGAAAAAAAAAAAAGATAAGTTCAATGTCAAGGAAAATCAGTAAGTTTTGTGTATGAAAAGACGCTGTTAAGAAAATGAAAAGCCAGAGAAAAAAATGGCATAGATGATAGAGGCTCTGTTCATCCCTCTGGCGACCAAATCAAAGTTGTGACGAAAATAAGGAGCAAACAACAAGGGAAAATCATGTGGGACGAACAAGCCATACAACTAGGGAGAAATCCAAGAAAACACCCTGCAATGGCAGAAGGTAGGACAACGGGGCGAGAACACAGGGCTTCCCAGTCTCGAGCTGCTGAGAGACAAAGACTGCGGTAACGGCAGCAGCAGATGCCACTTAAAGGGGCTGTGTCCACAAGCAGATTTTTGTGGCGCTGGTCCTGCTCACTCTGAGCACCAGTGCCGATTTGGCTGTGCAAAAGGGGGCACCAGGGACGTAGAGAGAGACATTGTCTGAGTGAGGGCCTAGGTGACTTGCTCAGTATAGAAGTGCCAGCAGTATTCTTGTTTCCTGTTGAGCCCACCCCACTACCAGTGCGCGGACAGAGCACTGCCAAAGCCGTGAAGTCATCAAACTGGATAACAGAGGTCGCTCCACCCAGAGGATTCCCTGAAACCCGGCCCCCCCCCCAACTCGCGGCCCCACCCAAGCCACACCCAGGTATATCCTCAGTGAGTCAGGTGCTCTTTGCTGAGACTCACACTGGAGGAGGCAGCTGGCCTCGGTTTCTGGTGTGGCCTTTTGAGGCAACTTAAGCACAGCATCTGTGGATTGCTGGCTGAATCTTAACAGGCTCTATAGGGTTAGAGGCTTCTTTGCTTACTACACAGAAACAGACACGGAAAGGAAGCCAAAATGGGAACACAAAGAAACAGATACCATATAAGAGAACAGAACAGAGATCCAGATATAATGGAGTCGAGTAATCTAACAGATGCAGAGTTCAAAACACTGGTTATAATGATGCTCAATGAACTTTTGGGAAGTGTAGATAAATTCAAAGAGATAAAAAACATAAAAATGGAAATTGAAATTATAAAAGAGAATCATTCTGAAATGAAGAACGCATTATCTGAGATAAGAAGTATATTAAATGGAATAAACAAAGTGAATAAAGAGGATGAAATGCCCTATCTAGAGGACAGGAAAGCCAAGGACACTCAGTCAGAACGGCAAGAAAAAGATGGCAAGACTATAGAAATAATTTAAGGAGCATATGGGACACTATTAAAGGTCAAAATATCCATTTGATTGGAGTACCTGAAGGAAAACAAGATGTTGATTAACTATTTGAAGAAATAATGATGGAAATCTTTCCTAACCTGGTGAAGGAAATGTACATACAACCCCAGGAAGCTCAGAGAATCCCCAAAACCAGGAATCCAAAGAAGCCCACACCAAGACACATCGTAATTAAAATGCCAAAGGTTAAATACAAAGAAAAAAATCTTAAAAACAGCAAGAGAAAAGCAGATAGTTAACTACAAGAGAACACGCATAAGAGTGGCAGCTGATTTCTCAAAAGAAACTATGCAGGATAAAAGAGCTTGGCACAAAATATACGATGTGACAAAGATCCAGGATCTACAACCAAGAATACTTTTTCCAGCAAAGCTATCATTTAGAGTCGAAGGACAGATAAAAAGCTTCCCAGACAAAAATAAGCTAAAGGAATTTATCAACACCAAGCTAGTATTACAGGAAAAGTTGGAGGAACTTCTTTAAGAAGAAAAAACGTATCAAAAATAGGAATAAAGAATGGTAACAACTATATTCCTATCAATAAGTACCTCAAATGGAAAAGAATTAAGTGCTTCAACTAAAAGATAAAGTGGATGAATGGATAAGAAAACAAGACCCCTACATGCTGTCTACAAGACACTCACTCCAGATTAAAAGATATACACAGACTAAAAAGAAGGAGGCGGAAAAACATTGTTTTGATGAAACTAGAAGGTATTTAAGTCAAAGATAAACACTACGTTATTTCACTTCTATGTGGAATCTAAGGAATAAAAAGAACAAACTACTCAAAAACAGACTTACAAATATAGTGGACAATTTGGTGACAGACAGAGGGAGGATTGGAGGGCTGGGAGAATGGGGTGAAGGGTTTGAGAATACAAATTAGTAGCCGATGGATGGTCACGGGGATGGGGAGTATGGCATAGATAGTGCAGTTAGCATTAATACATTGGCGAGGTGGAGGGTCAGGAGAGGGAGGAAGCAATTAGGATTGTTTCATGAACTATATAGATGTCTACCTAATGTACTTTATACATGAAACTAATTAAAATAAACTTAAAAAAGAAAAAATGGTTAAAATGATAAATTTTGTTGTATATATTTTACCACTCCCAAAAAGGATGCCAAAAAGGGGGGGAGATCAAAGAACTTAAATAGACATTTCTCCAAGGAATATATACAAATGGCAAAAAGAGTCTCGACATTATCAGTCATTAGGGAAATACTAATCAAAACCACTTCATAACTATTAGAATAACTATATTTTTACAGGCAAAATAACAAGCGTTGAAGAGGATGTGGTACATTGCTCTTGGGAATGTAAACTGGTGTAACCGCTATGAAAACAGATTGGCAGTACCTCAAAGTACCTTTAGAATGACCATGTGACTCAGAATTCCACTCATAGGCATACGGATGAAAATTGAAAACAAGAGTTCAAACAAAAATTTGTACGCAAATGCTCATAGCATCATTAGTCACAATAGCTCCAAAGTGGCGAGCACCGGAATGATCAAGGGACAACTGAATAAACAAAATATATTACCTATTTAAAGGAACAGTTTTAGCCATAGAATGAAGTACTGATACACAGTATAACATGAATCTTGAAAATGTGGTAAGTTATAGAAGCCAAAACACCAAAGGCCATATAGTATATGATACAAATAACATGAAACTTCTAGGACAGGGACAGCTGTAGAGACAAAAAGCTGATTATTGGATGCCAGGGGCTGAAGGGAGCAGGGATTGAGCGACAGCTTAATGGGGGTGGACATGATGATAGTTGTACCTTATAAATACAGTGTACAACATAAAATATTTTAAACAGTGACTTATATGTTAAGTAAATCTTATTTCAATTTTTAAAAAACGATACAGGATCTATTAATTTTTCCAAGTAAGTGAACGAGATAGGAAAAGTGAGAGAAGGGGAGAGAGGGGGGAGGGGAAGGAGAGAAGGAGGGAGAGAGACAGGAAGGGAGAGAGGAGGAAAGGAGAGGGGAGAGAGAAAGAGAGAAAGAGAGAGAGAGAGAGAGAGAGGAAGGAGGGAGGAACCGAGCACGCGAGCGAGATAGAAACACAAAATGGCGGCCAAGCTCATGGGATCACGTGACTTTCAATTCTTTTTCTTCCCTTAGAGTAGCCTTTTCCAGAGCTGGCGCAGAGACACAAGCCAGCTCATTGTTACGCGAAGCCAAGGTAACCCTTTGTACGCGCGCTGCCCTTCTAGCCGCGTAGTGAAAGGGGTGAGCGTATTGAAGGCGAGCTCTGGAGCGCGCACGTAGAACGTAAAGCCCAAGAGCCGGCAGTCGGATGGGGAGGAGCCGAGAGGCGTGGTGGAAGAGGGAAGTTGGCGCATGCGCTTAATGCTGACGGGTTTGAAATGGCTTCGGTGTTAGCTGTGACCCGATTCAGGTGAAGATCTGGTCTTCGCAGTTGCGGCGGCGGCGGCCGCGGAGTCGGAGTTCTTAACGTTCTATCGGATCCGCAGAAGGGCCAGGAGTGGCCGTTTTGGTAGCACGGCGTCCGCAGGCTGGCGACGGTGGGGTTCTCGTGGGACTGGGACGGGAGGGACGCGGTCCCTTTTGTGCGGGTCGGAGCAGGCCCCGCGCGGCCGGCCCCTCCCCCACCCTCACTTTTTCCCCGCCGCTCCTCAGGTGCCCCCAGCGCCCCTCAGCCGCGGTCTCGCGTTCCCGGAGGGATAGCCGACGGCAGTCTCTTGCTCCCGACCCGCTCCGGCTTTAGCACTACTGGACTCCGGCCCAGGGCGTCGGGGCGGCTCGTGACGGCGTGGGTTTTGGGAGATGGAGGCTTTCTCCGCCCTTCCCAGGGGTTAAGGGGACCAGGGCTCTCAGTATCCCCCTCTTGGTCTTTTGCCCAGTCTTTTGGGAAGGAGGATTACGCCTTCCCTCGTCTGCGGCCCGCTAGGAGCTGGGGCTGGAGGAAGATGGATGGCAGAGCTCTGGCCCCTCCAAGTCGCGGGTGCAGGAGCGGGTGCGCGGTCTGAGATCTTCGCCTTTTGTGGCTTTTTTTTTTTTTTTTTTTTTTTTTTTTTTTTTTTTTTTTTTTTTTTTTTTTTTTTTTTTTTTTTTTTTTTTTTTTTTTTTTTTTTGAGGGAGGGGTTCTTCGCGATTCTTCTTTAAAGGGCATCCGTTATTTCAACTGTCTTTCCCCTCGAGGGAGGGGAGAGAAAAGGAACCCCCAGTTTCTTACCTACTTAAGAAAGTATGGAAATGTTCGTTATTTAAATGATAATACCTTTATTCGATGTCTCTAAATTTCCGTGATTGGTTTTACCACTTTCAATCCACAGCTCATTGCCAAAAGAAACAGGCAGGCTATATTTCATTTGAACAGAAAATTATACTTCTTATTAGGTATTGGATAGATAACAGCAGATGGCCTTCTGTTTAAATGTGACACTTTGTAGTCCCAGGAAGAAGTGCCATTCTTGTAAGTCAATCCCTAATGTCATATACTGAAGCAGGATACTTAGGATGAACTACTTGATGTAAAATTTTTTGCTGCGTATCGGATATTCAGCTGCCCCTTGTTATTTATACTTTGGTCTACGAAGATGTCCTTGACAAATTAAACATTTCTTTTGTGATATTTTTAGTTTGGTCGAACTTTAAAATGTGTATCCTTTTTTAATAGATCGCTGCTGTAGAAGACAGACAAACGAAGGTTTTTTTCCCCTTTTCATCATGGCTCAGTTTGGAGGACAGAAGAATCCGCCATGGGCTACTCAGTTTACAGCCACTGCGGTATCTCAGCCAGGTCAGACTAGTGAACACATGTACTATAAAGAGGGAAGAGGCATGTTATAACTATGTGAGTTAGGTTATGCATAATATTGTATAATGTTCGCAAATGATGTATCTTTTAATTTTGTCTGTGAAGCACCTTTTTTAAAATTCCTGGATCTACTAGCGAAAAATCTGTTTTAAACAGTTTGGACAGTTTTATAGTTTTTTCAAATATTAAATTAACTTTTAATTGATTTAATTATGTTAGAGGTTGGCAGCCACTCATTCATTCGTGTTTCCGTCATTAGGCATATTGTCAGTATTCTGAAGTTTTACAGTTAACCCTTGAACCAAGGAGAAGGATTAGGGATGTGGAATCCCCTTCCCCCAGTGGATAATCTCTGTACTACTTTTGACTCCCCCAAAACATTAACCTAACTACTAATAGCTACTATTGACTCGAAGCCTTGCTGATAACATAGACAATACATTTTGTATGTTATATATATTGTAGAACCGTATTTTTACAATAAATTACTCTAGAGGAAAATGTTAAAATAATAAGGAAAATATGTTTACAGTACTGTACAAAGTTTAAAAAATCTGTGTATAAGTGGGCCTCCACAGTTCAAGGCTCAACTGTGTTTTGAAATAAATATATTAAAAATTCATGTTTTATGAAAAATTATACATGATTTTGATAGTTTGAGTTTAAAGTAGAAGAGTCAACTCTAAAGTATTTTTCAAGCAAAGAAAAAAGATAAAAGATCAAATGAATATTTACATTTTCAAAATAAAGTCAACAAAAAATGTCATTGAAAATGTTCGTTTAGTAAGTTTCTTCCCATTCATTTTAGGAAGACTATTTTACCATTTCCTGATTTGTGGTTTGAACATTAAATAAGTTTCCCAAGGATTCTACAGAATGAAAATTTGAGTTTCTTTGAGTACCCAGAAAAGCTGCAGCTTGTTGTTACTTTGAATATTTTTTTATTTATGACATGTCTGATAATAGTTCTTTGCTGCATTTTACTTATAATATTTATTTTGTAATTTGAGAGCAATTGCAGACACACTGTGATCTAACTTGGCTGTTCTAAAATTTGATGGATGTGACTATCTAGTTATGTAGGTGACCTCCTTAAAGAAATGGAAACTTTGGGGTTTTTATTTTAATTACTCTTGATTTGGAAAGAATTAAATGATCAACAGTTACTTCTGCAGGCAATTTGAAAATAATATGAAGTAATAGTTATAGATTATATTTAATTCAGACCCAAGCATTGTTTCTCTGTGTTAGATAATGGAAAATCTGGTATTGACTTGGTTTTAATGAAACAGGAATTATTAGCAGTTTCTCTATGTCTAGAAGCAAGTGCTGCATATAGGTATTTTGGTAAACTGGGCATGTTTTACTTGGGTTTTTCTACATATAATTTGTTTTAAATTCATATCTGTATTGTTTCAATACAGTAGCTGTTACGGTGGAATTCCATTGTCTATAGGTCTTAACATTTATATTATAAATGCTTAAATGTATGTTATATTCTGTTATTTTTATTTGAAGACTAAGAAAAGACACACCAAACGTTTATTAGACTTGTCAAAAGTCAGTAGTAAATATAGGTCTCTCTTTTAATATTTGGCAGTAGCATCCAAACGTAAATAATGGGATATATGTAAGCAGAACTTGTATTTGTGCTGTAGAAAATTATTTTTGGATTTTCTTGGACATAACATTGATCACAGTTTTTCAAAATGTAAAATTTTATTGATGCATCATGACTTGAATAAGTAGGCAAGTATCAGCATCTACACATAGCTTTCCTATAAAAATCCCAGAATAGGCTCTAAATGTCACTCTCTTGTGACATTGATTTTATTATAATATTTAATTTCTGGGCGCTCTATTTTAGGCTGCTCGATATTTTTTTGCTTTTATTTTAAAGCCTTTGTGACTAGTCATTATGTCATCTTATTAGAACTAATTCTCAGAACCAAGCAAATTTCTGTCAAAGTTAATTTTTTATCAATTCTAAGGCAATTAAATGTCTTATTTACACCTCATCTCAAGAGAACATTTCAACCTAAGTTTTGTCCTGGCAGCTTTAAATGCAGTTTGAGAAAAAATTTCAACAAAGGACATTAAGAGGACTTAATTAGGATAATGGTGTAGGTACCAGTTTTACTCTATTAAAAAGATGCACCCATTGAAATATGCCAGATATATTAGTTTCAGAGGCCACTGTCATAAGTCAAATGACTATGCAACAGAAAAAGGTTAACAATAATTGAACTCTAATGAAATATTTTGATTTTTGTGCCTATATTTTCTGATCATTTTCTCCTGAGTAATATAAAAATGATCACTATTCCTTTTTGTATATCAACTTAACATGGTTTTGTTTAGTTAATGGCTTTTTAAATCCATTTTCTAGCAAGATTATTTTGCATTTGTACTATAAAAATTCTCAGCTAACCTTGATTTGAATATTTCAATGCATTCACACAGATAACATGTAAAATAATATTAAAAACTTCCAGTAAAGGCATGCACACTAGCAGTTTATTGCTGAAATCTGTTGTAAAATTAAAGATCTGTATTTGAATTGTTTCTGATTAATTTTAATACTAAGTCTGTTCAGTTAAAGGGAATAATTCCTAGGTGTCATCACATCTCATCTTTAATTTTCTTTTCCTTTAACTGCCATATACAATTACATATGAAACTTTGCTTTTTCCCTTTTGAAAATGCCTGAGTATACTCCTTTATTTTACATTTAGGTCCTTTGCACTTCACATTTGGATAACTGCATCAATAGCAGCTTTCTCTTGCTTTCATCATCTATGCCAAAGTCTCATCTAACTTTCATGCTCTTCTATACCTTTCCCAAATCTTTGTATTTTAATCCATAGTGCTTACCACAAATCCTTCACTTAAGTCAGGAAACTGTTTTCCACATCTCTCAGTTGGTGGTGATGCTTTATATTTATTATCCTTTATTTAATTCTAACTACTTTTATTCACTTTCTTCTCTTACTGGATATGCTCCAATGTATTTATCAGTTGTGATATTCTTAAAGCATAATTTTTATTTAAAATTCAGAAATTTTCAAAGCTGAATGGGGCTTGAGCTATAGATTCTGTCTCAACTCCTTTTTCTACATGAGGAAAGGTGAAGAAATTTGTTTGGATCTTACAGAAGGTCATAGGAGAATCAATGTTAGGATCTCATTCTTCTGCAAAATTATCTTCAAGGACTTTTAGAATACAGTTCAGATTCTTTGGAATGGCATTCAAACGGCATTCTGTCTTTCCAGCCCTGTTTCTCATTTATCCCACACTGAAATACTTGTTCTTAATATTTACCCTATATTTTCGTCTCCTAACTGAAGTGCCGTGGTACATGTTTACGGAGAGTCATACTTGGGACCAGAGCTTGTAGGTTTGAAAACTTAACAGTTTTCTGTTGTGTAAAAAGATGTTGAAAGAATCACTGATTGAATTTTTAAATAGCCCTAAGATGAATTATGTTGACTAGGAATACTTTCAGTATATTTGACTCAAAATATTTGCATGTGTATCTGCATATAATTGCAACAGTATTAAAGTGTGCGGATGGATTAGCAGATTCAGACATATTTTCTTACCCATTTCTTTTGACCGTTCGTAAGGTGATTGTATTCTGGCTATAGAGAAAAATGAACTAGAGCAGGAGTTAAAATAGTGATATGTGGTGCTTTTAACACAAGGGCTTGACACTATTATTAATATAAGTGTTTTAATTATGACTCCATTTTTGCTGCCTCTTCATCTTTTAAAACCCCAGTCTCTTGAATCAGTAGCTCAGATTCTTAAATTCCAAGAAATAATAGCTGATGTACCATGTATACTTATACTAGTTATCTCTTGATAGAGTTGGATGTTTCCAACTCATTTGGTAGAAAAGGAAGATTGCTATTGGTGTGGGCTTAACCCTGTTTAAAGTAGTGATGCTATGTAATAGCTAGTTGTTGCAAACATTCCTCTAAGAGTGAAAAAATGTGCATAAAGTCAATTAAAGCTCATTGTTCATTTTTCTTCATCCTCTGAGCGTGTCTTACTTGTGCTCTCTTCCAGTGAGAGCTATATTAACATACTAAACTGTGAACCATTGAGTGCCCCATCTCCATTCTGAGTTGAGTGTGCAACTCATGTTTATGTAGTTGTGGCTTCTCTTGCATTGTGTGTTTCATTTCTGGGAAATAATTTTGATCTATTAAAGTTAAAAATGGAAGTAAAATTGAAAGTTCAAATATTAACTTTGGGTGGTACAGACTCCTTGAAAGAAGTGAGGTCAAAAACTAGGTAAATATCAGAGGCAGTTAAGGATGGAAGAAATCACATGACATTATGAATGGTATCAACTTCCTGGGAGGGTTGACCAACAATTATTTGAATAGTAGTAGCTAGAAGAGGTTATGGCCAGAATCATTAGTCATCATTTTGGTAAACTTTAAGAGAATGGAAGAACTATTGTCTGCTACTGTATTAACCTTTATAGAGCCTGTAAGAACCCAGTGTAACTGACTTAGTTACCACTTTGCCTCTTCGTTATAGAAACACTGTTCACTGAGATCTTTCCTCTGATGATGGATGTATTCTATATCCTCATTGTCCAATAGGGTCGTCACTAGCCACATGTGGCTATTGAACACTTGAAATGTAGTTAGAGTGACTGAGGAACTGAATCTCTTATTTTATTTAATTTCAACTAAATTGAAATAAGCCACATAAGGCAGATGGATGATATATCAAACAATGCAGTTATAGAATATTACAGCACTTGGACTATATTACATTTAAAATCCTATTTTATGCCTTAATTTCTTTTTTTAAAACATCTTTTTGACTTTATTTATTTTGTAACTGGAAGTTTATACTTTTTCGCCCCTTAATTTCTTTTTCTTATTAATGCCTTAATTTCTTATTCTTAAAAGGTAATGAATGTTTCCAGTCATTGAGTACATTATGAGCTTAGAATAGAACCTCAAAAGCCACAGCAATGGATTGGCTGCATTGTCTGATTGTAAGAAAGTTACCTGTGCATGGGGACATCAAAGGTTTTGTATTCGTATGAATTCTAATCTTTAGAATCACTTCTTAGGAAGAATATTGAGTAGAAGATGACATTTAGAAGACTTTTTCACTTGGCTTTATAAGTATTTTAGTAAACCCACACGTTATAAAGAGAATCCCCCATATCTTCATGTTGTTTTTCTCTTCAAATAGCATGATATTCCTTTTGAACATTTATCAGTATATTGAAAATTTAAAGGAGAAAGCATTGTTTGACTAGTGCTTTAAATAATTTTGCTAAGGCAAAAAAATGAAGTTTCTCAGGTCAGTTTGAGGTTTTGAATTTTATTATTTTAGAAGGATGACTCATCTTAGTAAAGATAGGGCTTTAAAGTATAATTGTAATAGGGATTTTAAAATTTAATAGTGAATTTGATAAGATCAAAGGACAACAGACAAGGGACAAGCCCTTTTGTGTTTTAATGGTGTATTTACTGGTATTCAGTAAATAAGAACTACCAGTATGTCATAACATGAATGCTTCAATTATATGAAACTAATTTCACTTTTTTAGAAAGTAGTATTTTTTACATTTGTCATTGAAGGTTTAAGAACATTTAGAGCTTAAATTTATCTAACTGGTAGCCTGTGGTCATTTAGGGCTCATTTCATAGGTTTGTCTGTGGAATATTGCTACGTAGTGATAAATATATCTGTTTCAGATGGATCATGAGACTTTCAACAATTGTATGGAATCAGATAAATGAACAGACTGTTCCACTGTGGATAATGAAAAGAAATCTCTGACTGACAAGTGTTTGGCCACTTATGTAGAGAGAAAGATTAAATCAGAGGTTAATAACTGTGCTTTGCAAGTTATAGAATTGTCTTGTGGAATTTATAATTCACAAGAAAAGTGGAGAATGCTATATACAAATATGCAAAGATAGTTTTTCAGATGTTCACAAAAGAGAGCATTAATATTAGTGAAATATACAAATGTAAATGATTTTTAAAAGAGCTATATTACAGACATAAAAGCCACAACCACATGCACAGTGATTTTACAAAATTTGGATTGACTAATGTTGTGAAGCAACTACTAGAATGTAAATTTCCTTCCCGTAAATTTCTCCTAGCAATTGAATCCTTCATAACCAATTAATCTGTTTATAGTTTCTGATTCATCACATTGACTATCAACAGTAGAAAAGAGATGTATGGTAATCAGTTATCATCCTACCTACTTAGTGCTGGTCTGCTGTATGCTGCCAGAATCCAGAACACCTAGAAAAGCTATAGGAGAAAAAAATAGACATTCTGAGATATTGGCTCTGAGCCATTCTGCTATGGCAACTGTCACTACTTTCCAAAGTTCTAGAAATTGGTACCCACAGAATGAAATAGCAGATCTAAGGTCAGAGCTCAAGTGGGTGAAGGAGATGAGTATATTTGAATCATGCATGTTAACTTTTATCAAATGCAGAACATGCTAATCTTAGAATTTAAAATATTAATTTTTCCTAGGATTTTTAGCTGTCTTGTGTTTACATGAGAATTTTGCTTCGATTACCCTAGAATGGTGAAAGTTTGGAACTTCTAGTCTGCAATTTTGCATACAGTTTCAGAAGGTTAATAGGACCCACCCGTTAGAATCTATGCCCTAGATTTTGATACTTTTTTCTCTGTTCTCATTGCACTTAACCTCGTTTTGAACTTACATTGGTGTTTAGATGTTCCCCACTTTTTCTATTTAAATTCATTTAGTTTATCCTGGTTTCTCCTTTTGCCCATCTGTGACATCTGATTTACCTTAAACACAAAAGAGGAAAGATTAATGGTTTGGCACTATATATTTAGGACATTTAGAAGGTTTTTTCCCCCACTTTAGGTTCTCCTTTTTCTTTTTCCTCCTTTAAAAATGTTTAACAATCAGTTTTTTACAGGGAATAATTTGTTATTTAAAACAATCCCAAACATGATCTCAGGATTTTTTGTTCGTTTGTTTGTTTTTAGCCTTACTTTGTTGTTGGTTTGTTTTAGTTTTAAGTAAAATGAATCCGTACTCTTAAATAATTGATGAGGAACCTCACACTTCAATAGATTTTCTGGGATATTTTAGACTAAGTGATTTGGTTAGTTCATTAATGCTCTCTGTTTCTGTAAAGCATAATGTTATTTTTATGTGGTTAACTAATAGCTATAGAGCAGCTTTTTTTTTTTTTTTCTTTTTCAAGTTATTCTCAGATACAGACATGGTGCTTAGGAAAAGGGAGTGTTCCATGAACAAATATTGATTTTATGGCAGCCTCTTTGAAATACATAATACTTACTATGTTATATTAAAGGTTCTAAGAAATTCTTCAGTAAATATAAGTACTTAATTTACTGTTCTTTTTTTAACTTTTTAAAACTTGACCCACTTTTTTCAAACTTTAATGCTCTGGGGAGCTTGTCATTATTCCAGGAGCTATAGTTTTGGGAAGTATAGAGCTAGACCACAGTTTTTAGTTGATTACCTTTTTTGCATTTAATGGAATTGCATAAAAGCATCAAGTAAAATCTTTGTGTTCTCTTCACCTTTTAGCCCTGCCTAAGCGTACATTAAACATTAAGTACCTAAATGTGTCATTCTGAGCCCTTCCCCCAATTATTTGGCTTAAGCAAATGATTATAAATCACTATGTGGTTAATTTTATCTCTCATTGCTCAGTACAATGGTGCACTAAGATTAAAAACTTTTTGTGCTTTTAAAGTGTTACTTTTTCCTGGTTTTACAATTCTTTAATGCAGAGTAGAAGTGCATGAAAATTCTGTCTAGTGGGAAATTTTAAGGGTGCATCACTTCCAGCAACACTGTCTTTAATATGTAATTCTCATCTGTTTGAACGTAAAACAGTAAATTTTATAGCAAAATATGATAATTTATTTTCTGCTATTTCTAAAAATACTGCTCGAGAGTACTTTAGCTTCTTGTCTAGGTAGGTTGGTTGGGTTCATTCTGTAGTTTAATTTTGTAGATTAATATTTTCTTATATAAAGCCATTGAATTGGACATGAAACAGTTAAATTCAACAGGCCTTCCTGAAAATTTTTCCTTAGGTTCTTAGTAGACCATAATGCATAACCAAGCAGTCATGAAAAATTCCTACAAAGGATCCAAATAATCTTGATTTCTTTTTTTCCCCTTTCTAAATCTCATTTTAGCTGCATTGGGTGTTCAGCAGCCATCACTCCTTGGAGCATCTCCTACCATTTATACACAGCAAACTGCATTGGCAGCAGCAGGCCTTACCACACAAACCCCAACAAACTATCAGTTAACTCAAACTGCAGCACTGCAGCAACAAGCTGCAGCTGCAGCAGCTGCATTGCAACAGGTGAATCTTTAATAGTTTTTGATGTGTGACATAGAAAACAGATCTGAGTAGCGTGGGTGGGTACCTTCACTTTTTAAAGAATGAATAATTGTGAATTTTTTCTTACGCTTGTTTTTTCTGGTGATAAAAATTATATATGCCCAGGGCATATAGAGAAGTATAGTTGCATAGTCAAAATTTTTAAATTGGGCAGTTCTTATAACTTAATTATTTGAACAAAATTTAGTTCTTAATGGATCCTAGAGTATAAGTAAGCACTATTTTATTTGTTTTAGATGTCATTGAGCAGTTCCAGAAAATTTATTTTTAGTTTAATTCTGATTATGTATTTGTATGTACGTATATCGCTTTTTGAGAATAAATAAAACTAATTCATATTTTTCTTTGAAAAAATTTTTTCCAGCAATATTCACAACCTCAGCAGGCCTTGTATAGTGTGCAGCAACAGGTTAGTTTAAATCTTCCATGTTAAAAATTTGTTTTAAAACCATGTGTTTCAAATTCAATTTATATAGATTTTATTTCTTGTCAGCTACCTTAATGTATGATTTGAATTCTTTTGGGATATGGAAAATGACGTAGGTAAAAAAAGAGTGTGTACAAGGGAGAAGAAGATAGGAAATAAGTCCTGAAAACCTAAACTAGCAGCCAGGGTTTGTCGCGTGTTTCTAAGAAAGCATGCAGAGGATAATCTGGGAAGAATCGCTCTGTTTCTGAGTCCTTGGCTCATTACTCCTATCTGGAGCCTCTAGTCCTACTGTGCTGTACTAGATCACATGTTAGAATGAAAAGCTGCTTTTTCCCGTTTGAAGCCTAAACCTTAAACCATTGGCTTTCAGCCTTTATTTTTTTTAAGCAACACAACCCTCTTCCCGACCCCCCTCCAATGAAATTGTGTATTGAAACAATATACAAAATACTAAAACCAAGTTGTTGAAAATGGGAGGAAGCCTCCCCATGTAGTTCCCATCCCTGCTCCTAAGGCACGTTTGAACAATATGAAAACTCCTGACTTAGACTAAAAGTGAGTTTCTTTAGCCCCTTTATCCTAGGTTTATACTAAAAATATAAATGATGGTAGGAAGAGATAAGAAAAATAACCCAAGGAGAAGCTTGTCAAGGAAAAAGTCTTCATCTGCTGAAATCTAGATAGGTTCTAGCCTAAGCACCCATTCTAGGCTTTTCCAGGGCTAAGAGATAGTCTTCATTCCTTCTCAGTACCTTTAAGAAGCTTTAGGAAAATATAACAGTCAGGAGAGGGAAAAGGAGATATACGTGAAGGGGAACAAAAACTTGCATCCAAAGACACTGTGGAGAAACATGAGGCTTCTCAATTCATAAACTCATCCCTAGGTCCATGTCTTAGTTTCATCCTTGGCTTAAGTCCTTTGGTGCTTAAGAAGCATTGCATTTTCCCTGAAGGTTACAATACTCCATTAATAATTGCTTTAAACTAAAAATTGACAAGAGATGTCAAAGTTTGCTATCTTGTTTTCAAAATACCTTAGGTTTATTTTAGTTCCGTTATGAAATACACTATTAAAGATTATGTGTTAGATTGAACCATATGGAAATAGCAATAACTCAAATGATCTCTGATTTACAGAAAAATAGTGATTTGATCGATTTAACTTCCAATATGTGGTGACCCCAGGTAAACTGAGTGTTTTGAATTAGAATTTTAAATAGGTTCTTTTAGCCTAGTTTAAGTCAAGTTTCTATTCCAGAGTTTTAAAATTTTCCCTCTTCATACCAAATCTTTTATTTTCTAATAATATTTCCCTTAGCTATTGCTAGAAAAACTATGTCAATTTGTATGGTTTTTTATCATTCTCACGTGGTAGCAAATCAGACCATCAGCAGTGCTTCTCATTTTAGGGGGATATTAGATAGCTGGCTCTATTTTTATTTATTGTTTTCAATTATAGTTGATATTCAGTATTAATTTATATATTAATTTCAGGTGTACAACGTAGTGGTTAGACTAAAATTTATATAATTTATTGAATGATCTCCCTGATAAGTCTAGTACCCACCTGGCATCGTATACGATTACAATATTATTGACTATATTCCCTATGCTGTACTTTACATCCCGTGACTATTTTGTAACTACCAATTTGTACTTCTTAATCCCTTTAGTTTTTTCACCCAGCCTCCCTGCACACACACACACCCCGCATGTTAATCAGTGATATTGATGATACCGAAGCATGGTAATTAACACGTGGCAGAACTAGAAATCTACCCCACTAGAGAGTTGTGGGGTTTTTTTGTGGATGTTATTCCTGAAGGAAAAAGATAAATTTCTTTATTGTTATTGAAAGAGTTATATATCAGGTCTGCAGTTGTCTGATGTAGTTGTTTAAAACCTTAAATCTAATAAATGACCTTCTGTTATTTTTCACATATTTCTTAATTAGAAATAAAGTACCTGTTT